TCACAGATGCTGGCGAAACGTTAGGAAACAAGACTTCAAGACCACGGCCACACAGCCCGGAAGACCCACACCAGCCATCGTGATGCAGAGGCTTCCGGGGTGTGCTTGGCCCAAGAGAAAAATTAGCCTGTATGATGTAATCCAGTGTTGTCCAAACTTGGCCATTTTAAGATGAGTGGACTTCAACTCCCAGAATTCTGGCTGGGGAATTCTAGGAGTTGGAGTCCACTCATCTTAAAGTGGCCAAGTTTGGACAAGACTGATGTAATCTATTGTGTGCCACAAGCGAATGTCCATGGCAGTAAGAACAGTTCCTAGATCTTCCTTTCTTACATCCTCAAATTACAGAGGAGCTGGGATTCCGCTTTCGTTAGGCCTGCTGTACGTGACCTGCAAAGCTCTGAATGACTCTTAGATGACAGCAGTGATCAGTCAGAGTTTGGCAGCCCAGATATAGTGGGCCTACAATTACGCAAAATGGCAAAATCATTCTTTAGGTTTTGGAATGGATTGGCTGTTGATGGACCATGGAGCAGTTGGCTATCTAGTGCTGGTCACCACTACCTGCCAGGTTAAAGCCACTTGGGATCTAGTCAGTGGACCCATGAAAAGAGTAGGAAAACAGCAGACTGACGGTGGTGTTGATGGGGTGATGATGATGATAATGATGACAACGATGACAATTTTTTGCAAGACAAGTTCTGTACTCGTCCAAGACATTTTGAGCAAAAATGGTTCAACTCCAATGTCCCAGTTAGCATTTCAAAATGTCTTCTGCAGAATCCAAACACCAGTTCCTGCTTTCTCCCCTGCTTCTTCATGATACCCTTTGTCAAAGGTGGCTTCACATTCCTGTATGACAAGACCATCAAGCTTGCCATGAACATAGCATATAGCCTGTAGACTTGCTTCCACATTCCACATCAGCTATTCAAGTTGTACTTTTGAAAATAATCAGAGACACCAATTTTTGCCTTTTGCAGTCTCCTCTCTTCCAAAGGAGCTAGAGACAGACTCTGTAGCAGCTGCCCAAAGTTTTCCACCAAGAATGGGACTAGAGCAATTCTTTGTTTTTGACTCTTACCAAGATAAGACGATTTCAGATCATTAGCAGCGGTGGAAATATTGATAAAAGTCGAATCACCACGGCTCTTGTAAAGGAAGACCCCTCCAGACCAATCATAGGTTCCAACTGCTCCCAATATGGAGCCATCCTAAACCAGCAAAAGAACCAGCAAAGCAGAGATGATGTTAATCAGTTGAAAAAAATATCCATCAGATGAAGGTTGCGGTCTTCCTCCTTTCATATGACACTAAGGCATTTTGAAAGTTTTCTTTTCTATAGCTCCACCTGTAATAACCAAGTTTGGGGCCAATCAAGCATTCAAAAAAAATCCCATACACTGGATTAGCCAGATCCAACCATCTACCTCTGTAGGTATCAGGAATCCCAAGAAACATAACTCAGCACATTTTCCTTTCAAACATTGAAGTCCACATAGACTAAGCTGTGCAGCGACAGCCCATTCTATCATTTGTCCAAGGTAGCCCACTAATCTTCATCCCCAAAGGCATTTAATTCTGACATTTTTTCCTACCCAAGTCTCTATTTTATGTTTCTACATTAGCCTGACCTGCTACTTATCAAAATCTAGTTTGCACTGGGGAATCCGAGGTAAGAGTGACTCACCGGGGTCTGTAAGGCACTGAACCCTTCCTGGGACATCTCTAAACGGAAGGAGTCAGAGATGCTGCCAGTGCTTTGGGACTGAGTACCTGCAGAAGGAAGGTAGAAAGAAAGACAAAGTTTTCTCAGCCAGGTTCAGTCCCTGAGATGCATCTAGGGGATCAGAAGGTGGACCATCCTGGAACAGGGGAGGTGCCACTGGGGCAGAAGATGGCATCAGGTTGACTGAAAGAAATGCCTAGCAAGTGCTGGTGTCTTTTGGTGCAACCTAATGGCTTTGGGGAGGTGATGATGGTAGAGCAATGGCAGGCTGAGCAGAAGGATAGCCTGCCATCTTAGTTCTGTTCTTTCACCCTTTACATCTTCTTTCCAGAGACAATGAAAAAGAAGGTTAACATCCTAAAAATCATGTCAGACTTGCAGGTGTCAAAACCTGTACACCAGAATGAATTGCTTGCATATTACTGGTAATGCCTAAGTGACTTGCATAAGGAATGTATATCAGGATAGGTCCTCCACCTTACTCTTCATGGAAGAAGACGGGAAGAGAAATGAAGCTGAGCTTTGATTTCTTTTAGCATTTATTAGATTACTTAATTCCATTTTGTTCCTCCAGGAGCATCTACTGTGCCTACCTGCAAACTCACCATCTTGGGAGGGAAATAATGGTTAGAAGATGATAAATTGTCTGAGATAATATCCTGAATGAAGCCTCTTACACAGCCACGTGACTGGTTGATGTGACTCACAATTTAAGGTTATGGCTCAGTGGTAGCTAATGGTTATAATGCAGAAAGAATGGCTGGAATGTCTTGTCTGGGGACAATCAGGCCAATGCAGAGACCATTAAAACCATTAAAACTTTTGAGCTGTCTAGATCTCTTAATCAGGCAAAAAAAAAAATGGTATTGGAAGGGGGATGAAAGTGAAATCTACATGGCCAAATTCTTAAGATGGAGTGTGAAGGGAAACTGGAGACTTAAGCTCTGAGTTTTTTCTACTCAGAAGGTGTTACTGTAGAAATCTGGAAAAAAAACTGTAATGGCATGCTCACAAACTGAGGTTAGATTAAATAAGCCCCCTTATTTTTGCAAAAGTTGTCTCCCTCTGCCACCTTATAGTCTTCTTGGTGGTCCAGGGAAATGAGCCTAAGAGGACATTGCTTTCAGTGCCTGAAAGATAAACCAGATGCATTTTGCAAAGCTATATGTTGTTTGCAAAGCGCTAGATGTCCCAACATGTGGACCTCCCAATTAACTTGCATATTTATTTGTTTATCATTTCATGATACCCCTCAGACGATGGAAATTTGTCCATAACAGGGTAATTCTGGATTCTGATACTGTAGTATCCATATCCAAAAATATCCCGAGAAACATTCTGATGTAGCTAAAGATTCTAACAGGTACTTTCAAAATGTTGAAAAAAGTGTACAGAATTTTTCAAAATCAACTTAATTGGTAAGAGCCAAAATTAGGCATATTGAAAGCAGATCCATTTAGATGGATTCAATTTATTCATAGCCAATTTATATTCCATTCATTTCAATGGGCTTTTACTCAAAATATGTCTAAATCTGGATCCAGGTCAATATTTATTATGGATATTCTTCTAGTTAAATAACAGCAGATAAGCATATTTCCAACTGGCAAAATCAAGATAGATAGATAGATAGATAGATAGATAGATAGATAGATAGATAGATAGATAGATAGACAGACAGACAGACAGATGATAACCTATGTCTTTGCTCCTCCCTATGTTGCTGAAAATACCTCATAAAAGGCAGCCCTGAAAGTCCCTCATGGCAGCTGGAGTATCAGGATCCAGAATCTAGCAGTCATCATGTCTCTCCTGGGCATTCTGACTAGGGTGACATTCCATAAATCATGTATGATACTGAGGTTCAGTCTTTTAACTACCCGTTTGGGCCCCAGATCTTAGCATTATTTCTAGGCAACCCATTGGATGTGATACCTTCTATGGCAAAAATTCTATCCTGAAGTTTGCTCTGGATGTCCTTGAGAGCATCAAAGTTGTTCACAGAGAAAACATGGTCCACAGGGGGTGCTGAGGCAATATCAATGAGTTCCTGCTTTGCAGATCCTGATGAGAAAGCTTGCCCGACCTTGGTGATATGCCAGAGATGGCATAAGGGAATAAAAATAGAGAATGTATTGAAAAGAGAAGGCCAAAAGCCATTGTTACTTTGCTCAGAATAAGCATTTTGCCTGTTAGTAATCTTTCCCTCCATTTGTAGAGGAACCCCTTTCTCCTTAATTCTTTCCTACCATGGCCTGTAATCTGGGTTGAGAATGAACTCCCCCCATACGTTTATTCTACCCCTCCAATATGCCTCTATCACCTCCTTCCATCACCTTCCTCTCCTAATACCTGAAATAAACCCTACAAAGGTAATTTCTCAGCGTCTCTAAAAGACTGCATCTGCCCTTACAAGTCTTGCAGCTATTAAGATCTCCAGAGGAAGTCTGTCTCTTGGGTCTGTCATTTTCAGTGGTCCATTTGGTGTGGAAACTCGAGAGACTTCCCACAATTTGAGCTCCCTATCCAATGAGATCAGGCCAGTTTTTTTTCCTTTATCCAGTAGTGGAGAATATGTGTAGCTCATAGCTGACCTGTTGGGTTCATGCTGTTCTCTAAACGTAGTTGTTTTCATGCAGACATTTCATTACGAGGTAGGTAACTTCATCGACGTATGTATATTTCATTACCAGACTAGGTAACATCACCATGCACTAATGACGTTACCTAGTGTGGTAATGAAGCATCTTCAGGAAAACAACCAAGCTCAGAGAATACCCAAAAGCCAATGTTTTTCTTATCATTCCTCAGCACACAAATGAAGTGGACTTTTGACATCTAAATGGAACTGGGGGCATCTTGGCTGCCTAACTGTTTTTATGTTCTGAAATTATGGTTCAAATTGTATTTGCATTCTAGTACTATTGTTTTAACTTTTTGTTAACTGCCTTGAACACTATACGTGCAGACTCCAAAAAACACATTTTGAAGAAAGGCCTTTTGTTGATAGAGTGAGAATGAATAATACATTTCCCTCTTTACCCTCTGTTCATATTGGTGGCAACTCTATATGTTGGAACAATCAGAGGGAAATAGCATGCTCTTATTTCCTTGTAATGTACTGCTAATGTTCTCACCCCAATAGCAAAACGGATGATGTTAGCATTTTCTGCTTCTGGAATCACTTCATCGTATTCTAGAAGATCTCCTGATTTCTCTCCATCAGTTATCACAATGAGAATTTTAGATGCACCACTGCGGGATCCTTTTTCTGGGAGAAACATTTCACGCCTAAAAAAAATGAGAAAAATAATAATAAATTGAACCTCTCCCTTCCTTCCTGTCCAATTTCTGAAAACTTGATCTCAGATGAATGCAATGTAAAGAAAGAAGTGAAAATCTTATAGAGAAATTAATAAATATTCGGTACAAATTATTTAAGAATAAAAATTAGGGGTGACTGTAGCTTTGCTCCATGTATCTGTTAATGGGACAAAAATAAAGGGAAAGGGAACAACGGCTTTTGTTGGTTAAAACAAAATGGGAAGGAGATGGAAGCAGGGAGGATGCTGTTCCACAAAAGGGGGACAGCAACAGAAAAGGCCCACCTTCGTGGCCCTGATGGTAACGCTCTTTTAGAGTAGGAATCCAGAAGGAACTTTCCTTTCCAGATATTGTTGATGGTCAGATACCTCTGAGAATAGGCTGTCCTGAAGATATTCAGGCCCTGAGCCATGTAGGGCATCCAAGATGGCAACTACCACCTTGAACTGCACCTGGAAGACAGCTGGTAGCCCGTGCAGCTCCCAAAGTACTGGTATTTTCTGGACAAAATGAGATGCAACCACCCCACTCAGGCTGTTGCGTTTTGGACCAGCTGTAGCTTCTGAGTGGACTTCAAGGGCAGCCCTATGGACAGCACATTCCAGGAAGAAATTGATGCATAAGTGACACTAAGGAAGGCATCATGATCCAGGGATAGTCATAATTGGTGTAGCAGGTGGACTTGTGCAAAGGTGCTCCTGGTTCCAGGTGTCACCTGCTTCTTGAGATTTTAAAGGAACAAGAACATAGTTTCTGTGCAAATCTTCAGGTCTGGTTCTTTCATTATGAGCTAGCTTTTTTGCAAATCACAGCCTGTTCTGGCAAAAAGCAAACAAAAAGAGTTACAGGCAGACCTTGCTTACTGACTGCCTTGTTTAGCGACTGTTCAAAGTTATGAACCTTACAACTAGTCCTCCTTTTACAACTGTCACAGCATCCCATGGTCATGGGATTGCCATTTGTGTGCTTCACAACCAGCAGAGTCAATGGAGAAGCCGGCAGTAAAATTGCAAATTGCGGTCATGTGATGTCTCACTTAATGACTGCAATGATTTGCTTAATGACCATAGCGTAAGTAAGTCAGTCAGTCCATTGCAGTCACATGTCTCACTTAAAACTGCATTGCTTAGTGATGGAGTTATCAGTCCCAATTGTGGTCGCTACGTGAGGACTACCTGTATATCCATTTCAGATGTATGTTTTTCTCATTCTAGGTAAGGGGCAGTAGTACTCTGATTTTTCAGGATCTGCTTCTGATCCTGGATTAAATTGTATTCAACAATCATTGGAGTGATCAAGAGGAAATTAGTTCATTTCAAAAAATCCAGATCAAGCTATTCAAGCTGATCAGATTATCTCTACATATTCCCGTGGAAGACAAATTAAATTATTTCATTCCTTTATTGGTCCAGTATTGTTAAACATGTCTCAGTACAAAAGACAGTTTAATATTTCTTTCCAGTTATAAAGAAAATCATGGGAGCTGCTTTTACATTCATTTCTGGATCATAAATGACAATGAAATTGCATTTTTAAAGTTGGGGGGGAAAATCATTTCAAATGAGGTCCCAAACCCAGGAAACTCTGGGAAGTAAGTGGAGGTATCTGCAGGGTTTGATCAAAAAAGTCAAGATGGTGGGTGCGATGGTGTGATCAAAGCCCCGTCTGCTTTTTTTTAACCACACCCTGCGGACAACCCCGCACGGATCCTCTTTAAATGCAAGTAAAAGATGAGCGCTCTAGGCTACGTGACTGGAGCGGAAGCAAGTGCCAGCATGTTGTGTTAAATTAAAAAGAACCAAACAATGAATACTTACACCACTTTCTGGATATAGGTAGCTGTGAACGTAGCTCCACGCAGCTGCTCGATTGGTCTAATCAAAGCATCGGAATTCTTGGTATTTTTGAAACGAAGAAAGTCAAAGTGTTCCTGATATGTACCTGAGTACTGGGACAAGCCAAA